TGTTATCTGTTAAATTTCATCCTGACCGTGTTTCCATACATTTGATTGATTGATTGAATATGAGTCATTTCTCATTGGGGGTAGGGAAAGAGGTAGGAAGTGGTATGAATTAACTTGTGGGGCATTAATTTTTAAAAAGCATTAAAATTTCAGGGGCTCCTTTGGGGTGGGGGTGGGGTAAGAATACTCTTTTTACATTAAAATGGTCAAGATATCCTTGTCTTATTTCAAGTATAATTTAAAATTACATTTTAAAATCAATTACTATTGAGTCCATTCTAAGTCCTGATGTTATCCCCACATGTGTCAGAATAGAATTGTGCTGCAAAGGGTTTTTAGTGACTGATTTTTGGGAAGTAGATTGACAAGCCTTTTTCTTCCAAGGCACTTCTTCTGTGGACTCAAGCCAGTCAGCTTTCCATTAGTTATTGAGCATGTCTAACCATGTGTTGTATCCCCCAAGATGTCATGGTATTTTGGGGTGGTCTATAGGGATCCCTCGTGGTACAGTGGTTAGGATTTGGTCTGTGATCCTCCTGGTCTGCAGTTCTAAACCACCAGCAGCTCCAGGAGAGAAAGACTGGGTTTTCCACTCCTATAAACAGTGGAGTCTTAGAAACCCACAAGGGGTTGCTAAGAATCAATGCTGACTTGATAGCAGAGAGTTTTGTTTTTTTTGGTTTGTGTGTGTTTGTTTGATTTTAGTGTTGAAGGAGGAGCCACCCCAGTGGCAGTGTTTACGCCTTGGCCTGCAAACCTTAGGTTAGCAGTTCGAAACCTCAAGTTGCTCTGCAGGAGAAAGGGGGTGCTTTCTACTCCTGCAAAGAATTAGTCTTGGAAACTCCTCAGGGCAGGCCTACCCTGTCTATAGAGAGGGGTGCTCTGAGTCCGCATGGACTCAGTGGCAGTGAGTTTTGAGTTTTTCATGTTGAACGAGAGATTCCTCAGTGCTCATTGGTTTTATGGGAAAGAATTTGGCTATCTTATTTCTGTAGGAAACTGACTTTTCTCAGAGCAAAGCAAGTATCCTAACAAAGAAGCACACATTTAAAAGCAACATAAGGAAAACAGCCCCTCAGGGACATCCTCAGCTCTAACACTCAATGTTCCTCTGAGTTTGCTTTTCTTGGCTGGCCTAAGCCCGTTCGGGCAAGAGCAAACACTTCAATCCTGAAGTCTACTCAGCGAAGCCGCCTCCTCTTGTCTTCCTGCTCTCGACTGGTGTGCACGTGACGACCTGCAGACT